CATCCATATGTTCGTTCAGTAAACGACTTGTTATCTATTCCTGCTGAACCGAAATGGCAAAGAATGAGAAACAATTTAGGCGGCTCCATAGGTTTGAAGCCGGTATTGCAAAATGCAAATCGGCGCCCAATTAACTGCGCCACTGCCCCGGTGTAGGCTGCATATCTAACTTATACGTTGTTGCATGAAACTGACCCCCCATATGTAAGAAAGTTATTTGCATACATAGGAAATAATATCTTTACTGCTTACTCACAGTATATGTACTGCCCTGCGTCACATTTTCAACTCTCCTGTCGTAGAACAATTCTCATTTGTTCATGCATTTATTCTGCTAATTTGAGATTAAACCCCGCATATCTGTCCAAGAGATTCGTTTTATTTAAAAACGGATGATGAACCCCTAGGGTTGTTAGGATAATCAGTACGTCATCAACATTTAGAAGCTTTGTGACAGACTTGACGAGCAGCTGAAACCTTTAGTCGAGACTTTCAATGCTGATAGCCCATCGGTTTTGCCAACAAACGGAATAACATGGGTTGCAAATGTTAGTCCTTGCGTAACGTTTCTTGAAACAGGCAACAAGTTTAACAAAGTCATAGTGTGTAGAAGTCTTAGTAGCTTTATGTTCAAATAAATTCAAATCAGATAACGAACCCTAGTTGACATTTGCCTTCCGAATGTGCTTTTGAAAGCTGTGTCGAAAAATTCAGAAAATGATTGATTATCTTATCGTTAATTCCGTCAAAAGTTTACTACTGTTTAATCGCAACGTTTCTAACCGTAACTGGCAAACCCGTTATTAAATAGACTTGATTAACGTGATTGATTGCTTCTAGCCGCTGCTCTCACCGTATGATATGAAAAAAAGTTGTCTGACAACGAAACAACGGCATTTCTACCGATATGGTTTCGAAGATTTATAAAGGTCACATCATTTTCAGCTTCTGATACCAGATTGAAGCGGCGTAAGCAAAGGCTCTTTGCTTCTGATGGCCTAGAGGACCATTTAAGCAGGCCACGGCTCCGTAGCATTTAGGCGCTTGCATATTATTTTGGTGCAAAACCGCATCACCTGGCAGGGCTGAACAAGGGCCTGTTCGAACATCTGCAAATATGCCAATATCCGTAGGCATTTTTATATCTAAAAGTATAAAACCCGATTTTATGGGCTTACGAGCATAGCAATGACTAGCAGTATGCCAGTAAACGCATGAGATCGGGTATTTATTTTTCTGCATAAAAGGATCACAGCTTGCATGTTTCTGATTATGATGGTTAGAACGAAAACAACTAAACAATTTTGATTAGCTACCTATGCACGGTCCGGTACCACACGTTACTGATCCTTGTTGCATCAACGTACTGAAAGGTGGCTCTCGACAGAAACGGCGCGATGAAGGACGGGTCTTTTTTGTACGGCCAATTCGGGTTTGGAAAGGTATACGGTGGCTGGATCCAGTCGGATGTGCTAAACTTCAGTAGACCGTTTGGAGTAACCTCCAGAAAATAATGTTACATATTAAGATCACAGAAATACCACCCGTCTTACGTATGAGTAATTGAAACGGAATCCGTAAAATGGAAAGTTGAAATTCAAATCCACCTGAGTCTCGTGGTTTGGTTGATCGGTCACGGATATGTCATACGCTTTTTCGCCAAATGGATAAAGCACTCGCCAGCCTGAAATCAATGTACGAAAAAAATTAACATTAAGTCTTTCAAACATGCATTTATTGTTGAGATATTCACAAATAACTACTGATGCCGTCAAATAACCCTGTGAAATTGTAGATCTGTTGTTTAGTCGTTATTTCATTTTATTGGTTACATAAAATATTCAGCGAAAATAATCGAGAATCAAATAACTTGCAGAAAAGCAAAATGTGCCAACGGACAACCCCTATGAGGTCAGAGTCCCTGGTCAGCTAGTCTGTATTCTGTACTATATCACGTTAAACGTCGTCATCCGTTTAGAAGAATGACCAAAATATTTTTTGACTCAGATTTCCCACGTCTCGGCCATCCAAGTGGCTGAAGGATTAGGCATTATTTTCTGTTTATTTCCTATATCAGCCATAAAGGATCTCTATCTACGTATATCAGGTATTGGGAAGTATATGTTCTAATGCTGATGTTGCCTTCTGAGCCAGCCAAACTCCTCACGTAACTTTGGTGGTTGGAAGGAATCGACTTCACCATGATCTGATTCACCATGCAATTTTTTTGTTGTCCTACGTGTTCTCCAAATGTTTATATCAAAGATGGCATGGCAGAGATAAAGTAATAGGACGAAAATAAATTTTCGAAAAATCTTCAACCGTTTTCAACTAAAGTCGTCAAGTAGACTAATCCCATTTCCTGTTTTCTTGAGCCTAAACAGTATCCTTAATTTCATCCGCTTTGCATATGTAATCTGTCGAAATCAGTGCTGCCTATGTTATGTATTGTTTATTTGTTACCTCTACCAGAGGACGTCATTATGCTGCTGTTATTAGTGGAACATGATCCTTCGACCCCTCGAAGCTAATAGATGTATTGGTGGAAGCCGTTCTTGGATTCTGACTGATAAGTGACTTGGTTATTTTCATGGCTGAAATTGAGGTGGTTATGAACTCATAAAGTTGATCTAGACTGTT